CCAACCCAACCATTCTGTGATTCCTGACAAGAGGGACCTTGCGATCTGTCAGCAGACAGGGTTTGTGCCGGTAGGTGTTGAGCCCTGGGGCAAGATGAACACGGCTTCCACCCAACCCAAATACATCCTGTTTATACACATCACAGGGGGAGCGGGACTCACCATGGATCCTGGCAAAGCTCTTGGTGATGATGACCCTGCCCCCCAAGTGACGTGGCTCCAATGCTGCGTGCTCCCGGCTTGATCCCTCACCGTAGTTTTCATCCCCAATAACTGCCCATTTGACACCCATTTTCTGTGACAAAAGAAACAGATTTACATTTCTGCAGTCACTCAAGTGAGGAACTAACAATAAATAGCCACCCACACATCTAACTTCAGTGCTGTGCTACGACACCTTCTCCCACAAGGCTCCCTTCAATTCTGAGGAAGGACGGAAAGAAGGGAATGAAGTGCTTCACAGCAGTCAGGCACTGCCACCCTTCGCTAACGAGGGCTGAGGAGGATCGCCCTTGGGATCCAGAGCAAATCCTTGCTGCCACCTTCCCTTTCATGGTCCTGTGCCAGAGCAGCATTCACACCAGCCATGAGCCCTGCTCTACTTCTCAAAGCAGTACGGAAAATTTTAACTTCTGTCTACCAGAAGAACCAAACTGAGACCACCGCCAAGTTGTCCAGAGGGTAAAAGGACATTTCTCGAGATTCTAAGCCAAGCGTTAAAGAATGAAGGGAACAAGATTACAAGTTACTTAAACATTAGGCTAGTCACAGGTGAAACACTCCAGGAGGCAAGATTTAGTTGCCCTCTCATGAGACTCGTGCCTTGTAAGGTGTGCAGTGCCTAAAGGAGTTCTTCCCCTTTCACCTATGATTTCTCCTCCCTCTTCCCCGTAGCATGTAGGGACAGAATCTCCTACAGGAACTGCAATCATCAGAGTAAGTCCGAAGAAAAAACCTCAATGCTCAGTGAATTCACAGCTGCTTTTACTTGAGAGCAGGAGGGTGAGATCCTCAGTCTGGGCACAGACTGCCCAAAGTGTAAACATCCTCTTAAAACAGATGTGTCAGGGGAAAGTCTCACCTTGTAGTAACGGGCTGTGTCTGGGACTGGCCCAAACTCCTGGGTTAGCGCATTCCTCACAGAGTTGGCTTTGCCGTTTTCAATGTTGATGGCACCGATGAGCAGGTTGTTGGAGATGTTGTCTAGATGGCCACGGAATTTAAGCCATGGGCCGGCTGCAGAAATATGGTCAGTGGTGCACTTCCCTTTTACCTAAAGGGTAGTAGAAGAGAAGAATGTTTTAGGACGGATCGATGACTTGACCCTTCCTCAACATTTTTTATTGCTGTAATAACTTTTCATAACAATGTGGTTGCAGGGGAGGGAATCACAGATAGCTCAAAGGCACATCGGAAGCTTCTAGCAGTTGATGTGCAAAGCCCTGTTCGAGCAGTCCTGTCACAGCCTGTGTTCCCCTGCTTTGCTCCTGACCTTGATGAGGATCAGCATGTCTTCTAGGTCCTTCCCGTCCCACTTATCGAAGGGCTCAAGAAGCTGGAGGCGCTGGCTGGTGGGGCTCACATCCACATGCTGCCCGCTGCCGTCCTTGGGAGGGTACTGATAGGTGTCCTGGCCTGGGTCAAACTCCTTCCAAAGAAGAAAGGAAAATCATCAGCCTCAGCCCATCCCCAACAGCACATGAAGAGAACGAGCCAGTACAGGCAACTGCACCCGTTCTAGCTTTAACACCAAGGAAGAGGTCAGTGCAGGAAAGTTCCCTCACTACATATAAAACACTACGAGTGACAGGCCTTCCCTCCCTCCATCTCCACACCGAGCGGTTACCAGCTTGGGCAGCTCATCTGCGTCAGGTGCTTCTAGTTTGAACTTCTTCCCATCCGCTCCTGTCAGGTAATCTGTCTCGGGGTTAAATTTTAGAGTGCCAGCAATGGACAGGGCTGTGACAATCTGAAAGAAAAAAAGGATGAATTGAAAGGCATATTCTATCCCTCATCTCTTCATTTCAAAGTCCTATGCCTAGAAGTCTCAAAGCCAGCAGCCAAGCTACAAACCAAGCTATACTGGGTCTCTTCTGCAGGCAGAGGAATTAGCTCCCCAGACACCCTGAACTATTCGACGGCCCCGCTCTGGCTGTTTCTTACCTCTGGAGAGGTCACAAATGCATGAGTCTCTGGATTGGCATCATTGCGACCTGTGAAATTCCGGTTATAGGACGTGACTATTGTGTTTTTCTCTCCTTTCTTGATGTCCTTCCTGTGAAAGAAACCAATATGCTCATCAAATCCGAAGGGAATATTACTTCTGGATGTCTCGCTGCTAAAATCCCCCAGCTTGGTTTTGGTAGTAATCACTATCTTTTGGAAACAGGAATCGGTGCCTGGACGTGTTTTCCTCCCTTAAGCACAGACTCGAAACCAAGGACGGTGCAAAACCAAGTCAGACACTGATTCCTGGAGCAGTTTTCATAGCCCATGTTGTGCACTGTTGAACCATCTAAAGAACAATCAACTAAGTACACTGCCTTTGGACATCCCACCATTAGCAACGACAAAGCCACAGGAAAGTATGTCTCCCATGCCTTTGATTGGGAATTTTCCTCCCTGCCACTCCAATGATCGAAGTTGGACCAATTCACTTTTCCTATTTTAAAAGGACCATACAAACTCCAGTCCACTTTCTCACAGATAACAAATCTCTCTCCCTGTTTTTTGCCGCCACGCTTGTGGCCATTCTGCAGCTTCATGCATCTAAAGGCTTAATATAAATCTGCAGTCTTTCATTTCTCCTCCTCCAGCACTTATCAGACAGCTATGGCCAATGGGGTTTTAAGCATATATTTTTAATTCCCAGTGTAATAATTGTATTTACAATCAAATTTGGCTTCACAGAGCACTTTAGGAGCTAAAAGATGCAAAGCTAGAGTGAGGTCTGTCTTTCACTTTACCTGTCCCACTGGCCAATGCATGGCCCACAAGCATTGGCAAGAACCAGCCCTCCAACATCTCGCAGGACTTGTGCCTGGGGGCAGAGAACAACTTTGTTACTTGTAGAAAGTCTGGAATAAGTTTCTGTGGTTGCTTTTTCAGGGGAAGGGGACAGTTGTCTTCTAACACAAAGCACCAAGCCTAAGCAAATTCCCCTCCTTGTCTCATTTACAAGTTTTGAATCATTTTTATAAATACATGGTGTTTGATTCCAGTAAAGCTGTACGTTAACCCTGGGGAAGAGCTTGCCATAATGTTCCCATTTCTCTACCTACTTCAAATTGAGCAACCCAGCTACTTGCAGATATTTGACTGAAGAGCAGTGTCTGGTCTGATTAATATCCTACACATTTCCTGTCCGTGTAAGGAGAGAATCGGTGACAGCGCAGGCAAGCGTGTGTGCCTGCTGAGTCCGTCTGGCAAACGATTCCATTAGGAGGGCAGCTGTTATGGAAAGGTGACTGCGGACTTGGTTGGAAGAGGCATTAAGCATTGGCTGGACGCATCCGCATGTAAAGACTTGGTCACCACGCTGTGTCAGCATCTAACATTTACTAAATATTAGAACTAATTAAAACATAATTTTCTGAACAGAAAAAGGGGGAAAGTAGGTGGTGGTTCCTCCACAGAAACACTCCTTTTAAATCAAACAGGAGTTTTGCCATAAATTTAGTCTAAAATGGGAACCCCCTTCCAACAAAAGGCTTGCTGACAGCCTAAACTGTTCTTACAGGAGAAAACTGGATTGCAGGTGAGTGCTAGCCCTTCGTCAGCCATGGCCATCCACGGCATCCCAGCAGCATGAGGCATCCCTTGCTATGCATACTGTTATCTCCTCAGGGCCCCAGTTCCTGGTAACTGTCTCAGCTCTGTCCAGCTCCAATCCCATTCTCATATGCCCAGGTAGTAAAGATATCAGGTCAAAACACCGTCAAGGTGACAGCAGGACCCACAGGCGTAGTAACACAAGGCCGGTTACTACATCAGTAATTGCACCTCTAACGACAAGCGAAGACAAAGGTTTAAGAGTTAACATTATTTAACTCCAGACTCCCAAAGTGCTGTCTGGAAGAGAGTTTAACACTTACTGTTTGGAAGCGTAAAGAGCAGCCATACTCACATAACCGTCTCTTTCAATGGTGGCACGGATCTGCTCTGAGCCTGGTGTGATTGTGAACTTAGATTTGCACTTCAATCCATGCGCTAGTGCCTGTTTTGCCACTGCTGCAGAGCGTCCCATGTCCTCATAGCTGGAGTTGGTGCAGCTGCCAATCAAGCCTGTGGTGTTTGACAGAAACAGGGAGGTGGTTACTGCAGCCTTGGTTCAGGGAAGCTTCTCCCTGACTCATCTCTCAGCAGAAAAAACAAGGGACAACCACCTCTTCTGCTGACAAGGAATCTGAAACGGTTTCAGGTACTAACACTGTCAAGCCTCCCAGCAATATACTGCGGTCACAAGCAATCTCTTGTCCAGCTTTGGAGGTTGCACAGTCAGAACACGCTACCTGGTCACTACTCTGGTTACCGTTTTATGAGATCCAAGTGTCACCTACTTGCACTTTGGTTAAGCAAATTACCACAAAGAGGGATTGTTCCACAAAGACAAAAAAGACTTCAAAACAAGATGGCAAGAAATGGAGGAAATGATGAAAAGAAAGCATCCTTTGTTACATGTATGAAGAGCACATCAGGACATACTGTACTGTCCTGACAGCACTCTGGTGCTAACCAGCAAAAAAAAAATTCTCTTTCAGTTACAGCTGCTCTTGATCCTATTTGTAACACTATGGAATAATACATTTCCCACCTGGGATGTGGCCTTTACAACCTATTTGCATTCTTTTCATTCCCCCAGTGAGCAACACTTGAGAAGCCAGCTGACAGGTTACCATCCCACAAGTGAGTATATAAATATCCAAGCCTGCTCTTTAGGACAGCAAGTACTAACTTTACTATGTCCCGAGAGCTCAACAGCCAACTGCTGGGAGGACCGACAATCATGCTCCTGACAGATCTTTGCAACAGACAAATCCATGCAACAGACTAACAGACTTTTAACAAAGGTGCTCTTCAACAGGTAACGTTCCTGTCAACCCAATCATTCAAAAGTTTCTAAAAAGGAAAAAAAAAAAAAAAAGTGTCTGCCTCTCGAGATTAAAATCTCTCCAACTATCCCAGATCTCAGCCCACACACCTGGCCCAGGTGGTCACTACTCTTCCCAGCAAATTCATATGGCCATGAAGAGATGACACTGCAGCAAAGTCAAAGGACATAAAGCAGTAATTAAAGGACTGGATCCCAAGCTATGTGACCAATCGCTTATCCCAAGACAGCAACATTTATGCCACAAGGATGAAGGCAGAAGAAAGAGCAAATGCTACCCACCAACTCTGATATCAACAGGCCAGCCCTCCTTTTCTGCCACAGCACCAATATCTGACACAGGGTGCGCCAGGTCTGGTGTGAAAGGTCCATTGATATGCGGTTTCAGCTTTAAGAAACAGTGACAAAGTCAGAAATTACAGTAGCCAAGAAAGCCCAAAACACAGCAGCAAATCAATTCCTTTCATAGCTCTATCTGGAGGCTGTTTAAATAGGATTCTCCTACACAAACACTGGAGCAGGAGCTGTCAGTGAAGCAGACCTGAGTGGTTTTTTTTGTATGTTCTAGCACAGCAGTGGGGACGTCACATCGAACTCCCAGCTTGGTCCTCATTCACACAAAGCAAAGTCACATCACAACATCCAAGATGGCAAGCAGTAAGGAAACCTTACCTCACTGAGGTTGATTTCTATCACCTGGTCATATTGACAACCAGAATCCGGTACCAAGTGTTGCTGGAATTCATCCGCCAGCGCAGCTATGTCTGGAATAAGAAAGAATGAAGATCTGAGATGTGCAGCAAATATGAGGGAAAAGAAAAAGCTTGGAACACCTAAACACAGGGATTCCACCATATACTTCCCCAGCCGCTTCATCTACAGACTCCTCGCTTGTATCAGACGACCTACAGGACCGTGCAAGGTCAGAAGTCACATCAGACACCACTGTAGGAGGATGCTGGTCCCGGAGTACACCTTCACTTGAACCCACACTTCTACCCACTTCAACCCCCAAACCCTCTTACCAGCTCGCCCAGTCTTGCCCAAGTATTTCTTCATCCGTGCATTGTAAGGGAAGACCGACGTGGTAGCTCCGATTTCAGCCCCCATGTTACAGATCGTTGCCATTCCTAGAGAAAGGAGTGGGAGAAGAGACCACAGGGTCAATGAGAAAGTCCAAGGCCATCCAATTCTCCAAAAGTCAGTCCATGGAAAAGACAGCAAAGCCAAGAGAGATCAGGGCATTAGCCACAGAAACCTAATTCCACAGAAGAGAGGACACACTGACTACGTAAAGTCTGGCTCAGCCTCTAACATTTCTGAGCAATACAGTGCCCGCGACCAGACTTCTCTGCAAGGAAGGTGCTGAAGCGACACCGATTCTTGCAGATACCGAAAGGGGTGACAGGGAACTCCCTGTCTGCACTGAGCACCAAATATATTTACAGCAGTGAGCGGTGCCTCTGCTACCTGCAATGAATGTCCTGTCCCTCCCTACCATCTCATTTATCTTTACTGCAAGAGCCAGAAATTTGTGAGAAATTTAATGGGTTGAATAAAAAGCTTCCAGTGACGGAAGACAATAAAAAATAAAACCCCACATTTACTCACGGCGCTGGGATCACCCGTGCCTTTCAAGGACCTGGCAACAAAGCTGTAGAAGCTGCTGTTTTACATTTAATGAGCTAGAAGCAGGTATCACAGGTCAAGTTTCTCTGATTTCACAGAAGAAAAATCCCAAATTGCTCTCAGTTTGTAAAACGAAATATTCCAAGTTGTAGCCAAGCCATGCGAATGGAGAGGAGAAGCCCAGCTTAAAGGCTGCACTTCAAGCTAAAGGAAGGGACATGTCTTGTAATTAGGCCCTAACTAGCATCATTACAGACAAATGCAACTTTTGCTGGTTCACACTCTGCACCCAAGACCCACAATTAGCTACTGTACGACTACATGTTACAAACTGCTGCTTTCTGGTCTCCCCTCTGCCCTGCTTTTCTGAAAAGCTTTTTCTTGAGCAGCTGTCACGTGTGTATGCCCATCAACCTGTTTCTTTCCTCTATCCACAGCCTATTTCAGGCTGAAATGAAAACGTCATCCTTCACCTCTGACATCTCCACCCTCTAACTATATGCTGGAACACCTCCACCCTTACTCTTATCCTGACGTGCCATCTTATGGGATTCTTCACAATTAACCATTCAGTGTTCTCAAAGTCACAAGAAGATCTAATGGAGAGGTCACTTTTTCACAGAGAGGGAGTGATATCTTGATACACCACTCTGACTCACTCTCCCAGTTTGCCATGTACTAACTGCCTGGCCAGGCTAAGGGAGAATATTCAGTACTTCTTGCTTGATTCCCTTCCCAGCCTCCCCAGACAACTCAACACTCAGCTCCAACAACAATCCACTCAGATAAGAGATTCGTGTTGTCTTACCAGTGCAAGAGATTGAATCCACACCAGGCCCGTGGTATTCGATGATGGCGCCTGTTCCACCCTTGACAGTCAGGATGCCAGCCACTTTTAGAATCACATCTTTAGGAGAACTCCAGCCTGAAAGCTTGCCAGTCAGTTTTACACCAATAACCTGAGCAACATTAATGGAAAAAAAAAAAAAATAGTACTGACACCATTTCCTTTCAGCAGCCAAAACAATTCCTCAGAATTTTTCCTAACAATCTCAGTGGTCACTGTACCAAAAAGGAGAAAATCCAGAAGTATCAGAACACGTGCACAAGGGCTGAAACCACTGACAGGGCCAACTGAAGGGAGATCACTACTCACCTCTTTCTCTCAGTCCCTAAATAAAAAGGCTGGAAATGGAAACTCAGAACTACCAGTGAAACATCGACCAGCTGTTTGAGCCAATGTGCGATTACAAACAAGACGGTAATGGTATATAGTGCCTTATATACGTAGTGCCTGAAAAATCAATGATTCTTACACATCTTATATCTCACTCTTCACAGCGAAGATTAGTATTCCTTCTGCTCTTACCTTTGGGCATTTGAGCTCCCAAGGGATTCCTGCCATGACATCTACAGCGTCAGCTCCACCCACACCAATGCAGATTCCTCCCAAGCCACCTCCGTTGGGAGTGTGTGAATCTGTGCCGATCAGCATAACCCCAGGGTAGGAGTAGTTCTCCAGAATGATCTGAAAATAAAAAATGGATCGTTTGCTTGCTTGTTTGTTGGGAAAGGAGAGGGAAGACAGCAAGAGAGAAGACAAGAACAAGAATTTAGATCAGTTTGTATTTGCAGATTTCAGTAGCAAGAAAGTATTGAATTTGGTTTGGATGGGAAATTCGCTTCCCTTTCAAACTCCTTGTGGAGGCTGTAATGACAGAACGAGGTACCACATCTCTGCCCCAGGATTCTTGCTCATCCCCGGGTAGTAAGAAAACTTAGAAAGCAGTCTTCACTGGAAGACTCCTTCCCTTCCAGTTTATGCTTTTGCTAAGGTGCCACCTTTGTTAGGACGCAAGAGTCTGTTCCTTAGTCTCCACACCCTTAGTCAACGGCTGAGCAAGTCAGTTCACCTATCCAATGCAAGCGAGACCTTTCATAGTCTTTATGCTCCCACAGCAGTAGAATATCGACAGGCTCCTCCAATCCATGCTGTCAGCCAAAACCTAATCACATAGGAGAATCCCTCACAAATACACCAAGAGGCTGCCCTCCCATTATTCCTGCTACTGATTCCACGCAAGACTCTTCAGCTATTAACAAATCCACAAAACTGCTCTTTAATGAAAAGTGATGAAATTTCAACGGTCGTAACACAGTAGAGAACTCAAGCTAACGAACTTCTCAGTGCATATGTGCCATACCAACATTATGGACAGCCCTTCTGGGAAGCAGAGAACTCGCAGCACGTGCATCACAGAGCAGCTTGGACAGAACTACAGTGGCCCTTTATTGAGAAGACCAAGGCTTTGCTTCTAGTACTCCCAGCTTTATTTGCTTGTAGCTCACATTAACATACTCGTGTGAGAAAGGCCACTTTCAAGGCCTCACTTTGCCAGAGCTGGACTCTGAAGCTATACAACACAACCAATTTTCTCCAGCCAGAGAAAGTTTGCCACAAGAAAGCTGGTAACCGCGGCAAGGAGCTATGTTGCCACGTGACAGATGTTACGAGTGGTTTCAGAACCAAAATGACCTGAGGTGTTCCCATAACCTTTTGGGGAGTTCACCTGTTCTACTTCCTTTCTCTCGTGCGTCACACCAAGTTAAGGTAACCTTAGTAACTAATTTTGTAGCTAAGAAAACATAGCAGAGAGCTCTTGACAAGAGTCACAAGTTCCCTGCTGACAGGACGCTTACCAGTCATGCATTCTCCTCTCCTTTTGCTTCGTGCTGCACTTCAATTTTTACTGCCTGTGACTCAGAGGAACAATGAAAAATGTCTACTGGACCCACAAAGCAAATCAACCAAGAGCAAGTTAGGGAAATCCTGCCACAGGTGTTGGTTTTAAAAACCAAAACGCCTCATTAGGTGGTAAGTTATCTTGGAACAGTCATATTCTTTTAAGCTGCAAGTGCTAAAACAAGAGAATCTCAGACTTGGAAACTGTTTTGCATTTTATTCAAGTTCACATAGCAACTCGTTATGTGTTGCCATTCCTGAGTACTTAAAGTAAGCTGCTCTGTTTGGTGTCCTCATATACTCTCCTAGTTTTTATGGAACCAAATGAATATAAAGTAACCCTAAAAAAAGTACGTTCCCAAAGCTGCTTCCCTTACCACCAAAAGCAATTCACATGAGCCCTATGTAGCCAGCTTCACGGCATCACCTTACCGTCCCAATCGTCCCAAGAGGAGCCAGCCCACAAGCAGTTCAGGCATTTCAAGCTTCTGTGATTCACAAGGCATGCTGCTGGCACTGCCTAATCACACATCAGGTTACAGTTTGACCAAAATAACCCTTAAGAAAAACCACTGTTGTCAAGATAACTGAGAGAGAGCAAGCAAGAAACCCCACCCGCCCCAAATAAAGCAAGTTGTTTCCCTAAGCTGGTGAAATTCTCTAAGGGTTTGCACTTGAGCTCCCTCTTCACCATCAGGTAAAAGGGCCACTGCATGTTCCAAGATTGCAAACATATACCCACACTTTACCTGGTGAATGATTCCCGACCCAGGTTTCCAGAATCCCACTCCATACTTGGCACCAGCCGTTGCTAGGAAGTTGTACACCTCCTGGTTTATGTCCTATTCAGACAGAGAAATGCATAGCATTAGGAACTCACTTTGTTCTTCCATACATCAAGAGCTCATTCAAACACATTCCCTTCCCTCCCATGCCTGTCTGTAGTCTGCTCCGCAGCTTTGTAGCAGCTAGAGGGAGGTGCACATCGCTCTTTTAAAACTAAAAGGGATAAAGACTGTTTGTCACTCAGCTGTAACAGGCCATTTAATTTCATCCAACTTGTAGCTCTACTAAAGCATCTTTTTTAGTTTCCAATTCCAAACGGCACAAGGGAAATAGCACAATTAAAGGAAAACCCTGCCAGTAAGGCATTTAAAAATGCTCTGCTCATTTCTTGTATTCTCAGGGTTTGGGGTTTTTTAACTTGTTTCCCTCTCCTCTTCTAGCCCCTTCTTCCTTCTCTACCAGCTGTTCCTTTTGCTTTACAGATGCTTTGCAGACATTTCAAACCCCTTAGATAAGCATTTTGGCTTTATTTTTACAGATTAAGAAATGGAAGTGGAAATTGTTCACTGCCAGGGGAGTTGGTGGGTGTCATTTCTCATTCTACCAAGTCCCCTGTTTAAGACTCACACAATGCTGCCTTTCTTGCTGCGCTATCACCATTATTGGTGGAGGTCACACCGTGAAAATTGCTTGTGAGAATAACCACGGTTGCCAAGGAAGTATGACACTATTATGTCCTGATAGTTCTTGGCAGAGGAGTGGCAGAGTAGATAAGATAAGCACTAGGAGGAGAGAGTTTCTTAAAGACTGTTCTCATGCAGCTAGGCTTCAGAATAAAGAGAAAGGGGAAATTGGAGATAATGGAAGAATTGTCTCAGCACACATTTCCCAGGAGGCAGCAGCAGTTCTTTACGCCTCGTTTTCCACTGGGAGTCGGGTCACTTCACTCTGTTTGTGCATCCCTCCCCAGTAAAGCATGCTGATGTGCCAGGAGCAGATCCAAACCACCCTCTGGCCTGCCAGCATTCATTGTGTGCCAACTGGCAGCAGGAGAAGCAGAACCCAGTCAGAAGAAAGCAGGACCTTTACTTGCTTCGCTCAGAGCGGATGGCAAAGGAGGGACTCGGCTCAGCTCAGAGCTGCAGCAAATATAATTGCACTACAGAGAACAAATGCAGGAATAGGGGAAAGGGGAAGACAGGAGGTGAAGGGAAGAAAAGAAACTGTCACATTTATTAAGTCCCAAATTCTTAATCGCACAACTTAGGGCTGAGACAAGCAGAGCAAGAACTGCCCAAATTTACTCCTGAGTGGTGTAAGTTGCTTTACTGTAGCCTGAAGGAAGAAGCCAGAAGCAGTTACTTCAACATCAGGAGTTTCTGAGAATAGATATGGACTAAAATCTTAAAATGCAGCTGAGCCCCCACAAACCGCTTACTGTTTATAAATTTTGGTATCAACGTCCAAGGCACAATTCCTCCTGGCTGCGACAGTGGACTTAGGCTAGGTCCACTTGGAGTAACAAGATTTCCCCCACCTCCCCGCTATGCTAAGAGCACGTTCTTCCTTGGCTGATGCATTGTCGTAGGTAGGACAGAGGTGAATATGTCCGTATTTAACAGAAGGTTCTACAGAGGAATCCGCAGTAAAATAGTGAGCGGGGAATTTTAAAAAGGCAGTGAATCAGCAGTTGGACAAACAACACATTGAAATTCCCAAATAAAACCCAACATCCTCCATGCTTCTATACATATTTATACCTACCCTCGCTAGCCCTGAAAGCTGCATATGCTTCAGTTAGCGTTCTTTAGTTGCTAATCCCTAGCAAATGGTTTGGGAAACAAAAGTAGTTATTTGCTCCCCCCTGACAGGATACACCAGTGCAATGCAGACACACATTCAGGAAGTTTTTCACACTGCCATACTGCAGCATAAAGAGCATAACTCTCTAGAGTAATCTGTTTCCCTTTTTTTCCTTTCGAAATAGATTTTTCCTCTTCCCTTAGCTGAAATATCTTCTCACTCTCCAGAACACACATATGACCTGGGCTTCCATTATTAACAGATTAAGACTAGCTTTTCCTGCATTCATGGTCCTTTAAACCACGTAATGGATGAACCTCAGCTGAAAAACTCCCAAAGATCCATTTACTCTGTTTCTTCGCTGCATCTGACCTATCTAGGAGAGCTGACCACCCCAGGCAATCTGTTACCATATCTGATTCATGGCTGTCCTTCTGGGGAAAAAAAATAAATGTATGTCTCCCTTCGACTGGAAGGCGGCTTTCAAACAGACAGAATTTAAGTCTCTGCAATAGTGACCTTGGCTCTTCGAAGATCCTTTTCACCACCTAACTGGGCTTCGATGAGGTGATCACAGTGGATGGTGGAAGGCACAGCCACTTTCGGCAGCCCGCTGCTGATGAACTGTAGCATTGCCATCTGAGCAGTGGCATCCTGCATGGCCACGCGGTCTGGCCGTAGGCGCAGATAGGTCTTGCCTCGCTCAATCTCCTGTTTTGCTGGGTCATCCAGGTGTCCATATACAATCTTCTCAGACAAGGTCAGGGGACGGTCAAGCCTGGGGAGAAGAATTTTAGTATCTGCATCTTGTGTACTTCAACATTTGCCCTTTTAAGCATGTAATAGAATGCTTCCCTATATCACTCAGACTGTTAAGACCTATTAACACGCAGAAACCTGCACGCTCTTCTTACAGCACTAAAATATCAACTGGCAGCTGGCTAAAAACAAGGGCTCAGTCCAGAAAGTTCAAAAGTACAGGGACTGATGTCACTTTATGCTTTCTTTTATAATCTTCCTATACAGTAAAAGAAACATTGACTCTGCTTATTTCTTGAGTCTACCTCAGGACAGCAAATGTGGAGGTGAGACAAAGGTCAGACTCAATTCACAACTACCAGATCCCACAGCAAGCAAGCACAACTAAGCAGAGTTTCATGACCTCAGACCTTTCATCCTGCAGCTGTATCAGTTGAGAAATGTATTTACGTCAGCAGTGACATCTTCTGAGAAGTAACTAAGTAGATACAATGACTTGAAATGAGAGCTACTGCATTTAATAAAGGATGCAAAGGCTGAAGGACATGTCATACAAACCACAGCC